AGTGGTGGGTTTTGTCCACTCTATAAAGTTTAGTGGGTGGGGTTTTGTCCACTCTATAAAATTTTTGAGTGATGGGGTTTCAACTGGTGGGGTTTTGTCCGTCTTCCATTACTAAGCAATACCAAGCAAGTTCCTTGCTCAAGGGAACAATGACTTGCCCCAGACAGTGTTTGAACACAAGCAACTAGCAATTGGCATAGGGGTTTAACCACTCAGCCTTGCTACCACTAAATATATAGACAGATGTTCAGTGTGGTCTATTATAGTTCTATACAGGATGACAATGGTCTTTTATTATTACTGCTAGAACTTACTGGGTAAATACCCTGCAAAGTATGTAGAGCTGGTAATCTAAAATATAAAAAAGTGAATGAAAGCTTTAAATTTGTTGTGTGTTATACATATGATGTGACTTGTATATGAAGTAATTTCCCTAGCCTGATAAGAACAATGAAAATGCATTAAATGCAAGCACTGACTTTTGTTTGCCAAGATTTGCTATGGTGTTTCTTCCATGCCAACACTGTAATTAACTAAGATGCCATATCTGTACTGTACTAAGTCTTGTAGACATAATTCAGTACATAATGTAATGTATTTTGTCTGCTGATGAATGCACACACGCCACAGATATGTTTTCTCATCCGGGTTCATAGGCTAAATGTTACTATTTTAAAACTTATGTCAAATTGAGTTTTTAAAGGTGATTGATTTATTTAATATTTCCCCATGAGTAAGCATATCCATTATTAAGCCATAATTCCAGTGTTAAAGTCAATCAATAGTTAATTCTTGCCATCATCATTATTGCTGAAAGCAGATTTTAACAGTTACTTGTTAATGATGTTCTTTTGCCAGGAGAAAAAAAGGTAAAAATAATTAAGAGTTTGCTTAGATTGCCTTATTCATGGAAAATTGTAATTAAGTTTCAACCTGTGATCATTCCAGAAGATAGAGACAGGTTAAATAAGGCGAGTTAACCACTAACCTGATTAATTTGTGAAATGGATTTGCCCAGCTTTGAATTTAGAACAGTCCATTACAAAGTTTGTTGTTTAAGGTATTTAAATATCAAAGTAGACAAATTTAGGTACCTGAACGGAATAAAGCTTGGTCAGGTGGCATGGATTTGCAGGCTGGACTGGCTAGGCTAGGGCTAATCAATTGCAGTTTCAGCTGTTTGAAATATCACAATGTCATAAAAAGGCTTCTCAATGGTCCAATGATTTGAAATACTAGCCATATAAAGACTTTCAAAAATATAAAAAAATATTTTAATTTACCAGGTTTCAGTGAGTAAAGTGATGGAAGAATGATTGTTATCTTTCCTCTTATATCAAATTGTCATTTGTCAGTTGATGTGTACTGATTTACCAGTTTTCATTAATTTTATTGTCTAGGGAGATTTATACTCTACAAAAACAAGTATGATGTGTATAAAGTCCTATAAATTTTCATTTTAATCAAACCATTATATATCAGATCATTTAAGATATAGTAGATCAATATGTTGGCTATTTGGAACTGTTTAGTATATTGACCAAAATATACCTACAGATACACACATATAAAAGTTCTTAAGAAGTTAAGAGTTCAAAACTCAGTGTAACATTATACTTAAAATCAAAGGTTACTTGCAAAAGGACAATATTTAATGGAGTTTCTATTAAAATTTTGTCAGATCAAATCACCTTACAACAATATCTGTGGTTTGTAAGATAAGAATATTCATTGACAGCATTATTATAGACTGAATTATAATCAAAGTGTTGGGCCTATAGGAATATAAATTTACATTTAACGACTATAATGCAGTACATGGTGTATATGTGGTTAATATGACAATTTAATCACAATGAAAACAATATTTATTGATGATGATGCTTGTTAATACAAGGTTACTTTCTTTTTCATCACAACAAAATAGAGGTTTAATTTGTTTATTTGTTTTTATCAAGTAATCTATTTTAAGAGAAATTGTGACATACAAGCCTGACACTGTGACATAAGTTTAGAGAACTTAATTTAAGAGGACACTTTACAACAAAGTTTCTGTTAACCCTTGATTTATTGATGTTTTTGGTTTCGTTTTGTTTTTTGTTAATCATAAAAGCTCACATTTACAAGGCAACCTGACAAGTTATACTGAAATAAACTTGTTAATTGTTGTTGTTAATTGTTGTTGTTGTTATTTTCAGGTGATGAAGGAGACAACTTTTATGTCATAGATCAAGGTGAAGTAGATGTAAGTAAACTTACATAAAACTTTATTAATTTATACATGTTTAGTTCTGTCTCATTGATTTTGACATAACTATGCACTTATTTGAATTTCCAAAAACCTGCTTTAGGCAGTATGTTATCTCATATACCGTAATAATTCTATTTAGCGCCCATCCTCTAATAGACGCCCACCCCCCATATTTTGGACAAAAAACGGCCATTTTTCAGCCCAAAGTTGAAAAATTAACTGCCCCTTTTAAACGCCCATCCCCCGATTTGAGTACAATTGAGCTTACCTTTACAATTCAAGTTTTCCTTATTTCCGTTTTTCACGTAGGAAACGAAACTTCCTTTTTCTTGTCTTTTTTTCGTAAAGTTTATATGTACACGGTATTTCAATGCCACCACCTTTTACAAAAGTTCCTTTTGATGACGAACAAGTATTTCGGCACTGATTTCTACAATAAGTCCATCTTTGAATAATTTTGTAAGAGGCTGACATAATCCCTCCGGTATATGTCCAACAAGAGATCCATTATTTTTTACGATAATTGCGCTATCACTATGTTCATTTTCTGGTTCCAAATTACACTGAAGTATAGTTCCGACTGGGCTTTATGCATGTATATTTGTAAACATGATATCCCTTAATAACAGATTTTATAGACACAAGCATAGGTGTTGCCATAATTCAATGTGTTTTGTGTATAAGATATATATACATGTATAAAAAATAACCATTCCGAGATGCCAAAACTCACGCGCCTATTTCATTACGTCAGCAAGGTCAATGTGCGTGGTTCAATGTATTGGGGCCCAACATGGGAGATTAGTTCTGATTAAAATTATTTTGAACAATAGACGATTGTCTTTTTATATCAAAATCCCGCATCAATCCCTTAAGGAACATATATGCTTGTGTCAGTAAAATCGGTCAGAACTATTCTTACTTTTTTTAACAATTAGATCTATATTGGCGGGTAAAAAATGCATAATGATCGGACTCAAAATATTCCATTGACTTTTTGAATTGTATAGAACATCCCAGATTACAGAGTTAATTGGTAACCTTACATAAATATTTCGTTGGGAAAAATCATAATATTTTTGCAGTAAAAATGCGCGAGGCTCATTTTTTATTCCCGTGCTCGGAAACCGGACTCTACATGCACGGTATTAAAGTGCGGAAAAGAACAGACTTTAGCCGGTACGTTACGATACCGAAATCGACTTTAGCGTTGTCTGCAATTATAAATCAACATCCGCTCTCAATTTGGATTCGTTATGAGGGGCGAGTGGATTTATAAAGCCTTGCTTAGAAAATAAGTTTGTCTTATGAAGATGCGTCTCCAATTAACGCCCATCCCCAACTTTCGAAAAGTCTATGATTCTAATAAAAGCCCGGGCGCTAAATAGAATTATTACGGTAAGTTATTCTTGTGTTGTTTTTAAGCTAAAATAAAACAAGTACCCAAGATAAGACTGACTAATATTAAACTGGCATAGTCAAACAGAGCCATGTTTGGCATGCAGTTATAAGGTTTCTTTTGGACTATTTTACTTTGAAATCAGTATGGGTTACAAGTAACAAGTCTGATTTATGAATTGCCAATAGTAATCAATCTGTAAAAATCTGGGACATCTTCAAATTTGGTGTTTACTGTATAAACGTATACAATATTGTGTTCAAGTTTAATAATCAATATTATAGACCTATGAAGTTAAGAGTTAGGGCCTGTAAAATGTTATTATAATAACTCAACAAAACAGCTAGGACGTTTTATCAGGGGTCTCTTGATCAATTTCTACTATTAAACATGCCAATAAAACGGTTGTTGCACTCTTTATTTTAGAAACCAGCTGTTAAATTAGTAACTTGTTAATAATTGAAATATTTTATGACACAGTTATGTTTTGAACTTGATTTTATGTGAAATAAACTGTTATTTTACTGCTGTCATTGTTTTAATTGACTGAACATGCTAATTGTCATGTTGCATTTGGAGTAAGCCAGTAGATTCTATGCAAAATGTTATAAATACTATGCACAGCTTTCATCAGTCAATGTTTATAAAAAGCAAGAAAATTTTGAGCTCAAGTTGTAAGTAAGTTAGTAAGTACTTTATTTAATGAGACTAACACATTTGGTTTCCTAATCTTCAATGTGGGCCTCAGTTGAGCTATTCTATTTCCTTTTTTGCAAAACATCAACTTGAGCTGAAATATCATTGCATGTGAGAATATCGTAATAGCTTCAATTGATTAATTGTATTAACTTTCACAAGCATCCAGACTTATCAATACTTTACCAGGCTGATTGTAACATATAACCATGGCAGTGATTGTAAAATTCAATTACTTGGGTTATACCCGAGAGATTCTTGTCAAAGATATCCAAGATTTCATTAAGCATATTGAAAGTTTATACATCACTACAATGAGGTGCAATCACCATTTGCCAGCAAATAAAACATCCAATCTAATGATTTTAATATCTTTATTGACCTTGTGAGCTTGATTCCAAGGAAAAGTCTTTAGAAAAATTGTTTCAAATGCAAAAAGTAAAGTAAACATTCTCTAATCTTTCATAAATAAACTCTCATGAAATCTTAAATAAACAAACTCTTATGAAATCTTGAATGAACAAACTCTTATGTCATCTTGAATGAACAAACTCTTATGTCATCTTGAATGAACAAACTCTTATGTCATCTCGAATGAACAAACTCTTATGTCATCTCGAATGAACAAACTCTTATGTCATCTCGAATGAACAAACTCTTATGTCATCTAGAATTCTCGAATGAACAAACTCTTATGTCATCTCGAATGAACAAACTCTTATGTCATCTCGAATGAACAAACTCTTATGTCATCTCCAATGAACAAACTCTTATGTCATCTCGAATGAACAAACTCTTATGTCATCTCCAATGAACAAACTCTTATGAACAAATGTATGAAATCCCAAATGAACAGTCTTTTTTTTCTAAAGGGAATGCTTGATTGTGAAGCAGCCATTAAAGTACAGTTTATTATTGATAATAAATATACATTTGAGTGTGAAATGGTTAGCCTGTTGAACTGGTAATCTAAGGAATGCTGGTTGTGTGTGTTCAAACCATGTCAAGGGCAAGCCGTTGTTTCCATGAGCAAGATACTTTACTCTCATTGCCCAGTACATGTTTGTTCCAGGAAATGTATTAAAGAGTGCTATAATAAGCTAATAACTTCAAACACAATCGAACTAAATTTGTGTAAACTAAATGTACATGATAATATTAAGTGTTGGAATGCTACTCATATGCCACTCAGTATAAGGCCAATATCATAAAAGTTATTAAGTCATGCCCATAAAATGGCTGATAAAACCCACAGAATTTGTTCAGTCCTACAATAAAATGAGCTGAATAAAAGTTGATGGCAAATCACTCATAAAAATAGGTTTCTATCTTTGCCAGATTGATATCAAACTATGGCAGGAAATAAGAAAGAGATTGCAGGGGGGTGTATTGATTAGTTAGCTACGCTGGACTAATGTAATGTATTAGATTCCTGGTCACAGGAAGTTATATGAAATATCAGAAACGTGTTTTTTTTGCATTGTTATGATTCTTGATATTTAAGATTTGCAGAATATTTTTAGGAAATGCAAAGAAAAAAAAAAAACAACAGTAAAATTTATCTAAAAAAAAAAAAAAATTGTAGTGTAAAATGGGGCCCTTTCATGGCTTTATTAGTTAGAGTACCTAGATATAACTGAAAAGTAAGTGAATATTAAATGGTATTCACAATGTCTTTATAAAGAAATAGTTTAGTCATAACGAAGGTAATGGTGTGAAACAGGTACAGTTATTATTTTACATATAAAATCCAACATTGAATGAATGATACAGAGGTTTATATCACCGCAGTTTTTATGATTATTTTATGCATCTCAAAAATAAATGAAAATCAGCAGAATACTGCTGCTAGACATTTTTAATTAGCAATAAAATGTATAAGATTCTGTTATTTGATCATTAAGAATCTAATGCATAGATCTAGCATTTTGTTTGTCTCTACTAAGTACTTTATAACTATATGATGTCAGAAAGATTGGAGTCAACAAGCAGTGTCAGACCTTGTTGTAATACATTGATTTTAGCTGCAATAAAATTACTATTTGCAGAGTTATAGCCCTTTGATACACTATTGAACATTGGAAAATAATATGCCTTGTAATGTGGCAGCTATTGTTGTATGTTTATACTAAGTCTTTTTCTTGATTAATTGATATTTTGTTCATTTTACTTTTTTTGATGGTTGATTTCTGATTGATTGTTTTTTTCCAGGTATTTGTTAATAACGAGCATGTTACAACTATTGGTGAAGGAGGTAGTTTCGGAGAGTTGGCACTCATCTATGGTACACCTAGAGCAGCCACTGTAAAGGTGAGCAACATAGTCTGTCCTATACCAGTAAATCTGATAAAATTATGAGACGATGTGCAGAGCACAATAATTGAAATGCTACCATAAGGTCAAGGTCACACTTACAGGTCTAGTGTTAGAAAGTCTACATTTTGTGTCTGTCTTTAACATTTAAACAGCTGCAACGTTTTTATGATAACTTGGCAGAATTGATCACCATTATGACACCATTGGCAGAGCACAATAATCAAGTCACAACCCTGAAGAGTCAAAGGTCCTATGTAAAAACATTATTTTTCATGTCTGCTCTATAACTTATTGACAATTTAACTTGGCACAAATGATCCCCACCATGACACAATGTGCAGAGATCAACATCCAGGTTGCTACCCCCAAGGTCAAGGTTATATGTTCTCCATAACTTTTTAACTTTATGGAACATTTTACATAACTTGGCAAAAATAATCACCATGACTATGTGCTTAGGTTATGCATGGCCATGGTTGGTAAACTTAGGTCAAGAAGTACACATCATGTTCACTGCGGAAGGGGATTTAGCTGTCCTTCAGACTGCCTTGTTTTTAAATTGAGTTTGTTATTACTTTGTTTGTTGTAAAATTGTTTATTTTCATGGGCATGATTCTTATAACTAAATAATGAAAGATATGCTATGTATAATGTTAGTGGCATTTGAACTTTTGAAATTTTTTAAATTTTCTACAAAAACAAACATTTTTAATTGGTGTTTAGAACTTTGACAATATACTTGCCTGTCAAGTTAAATCATTTAATATCTTTTAACTTTAGCAAGGTTGACCTATACTTAATGAGTAAATGTATTGAAGAGAAAAAGATTCCTCAGTGTTGCATTGATATATTTGTCATGTACACAATTGTTTGTGCCTGCTTAGAGAACAATTTTGAGAGAACAATTCCTGTGTAAAACTTAGAACACTTTGTTACAGTCATTAATGTATTTTATTGTTAAAAGCACTTTATTTAAGATGTTTAATGATTCCATAAAACTTTATTTTAAATTGACGTCAATCATTTAGTGAGAGTTACCTGCTGAAACATTAAACACTGAGATTAAATATAAGATGTACTTTACTACAGGTAAATGTTGAAATACTTTAACATGCAATGATATCGGAGGACCATTATGTAGACATTATTTCATGCAGTACAGCATCACCATTTATTTATTCTGTGCATTTATTTAACAGGCTAAAGGAGATTGCAAGTTATGGGGTATCGACAGAGACAGTTATCGCAGAATTCTTATGGTACGTATTGGTACATTAAATTTTGTTCAGTTGTTCACAAAGTAGTAAATGGAGGTATGCTGTATGTCCTAATAAGTTCTTTTTATTTGCTTTTTTACTCAGATCAAGATTTTTTTTTAGATTTACAACTGTAAGGTGGAACACTTGCTTTATGGACTTATTGTGAATTTATGACTTAAAACTAAATTAAACAAAAAAAGTTTTTTGCAAACATGGAGCTATAATAGCTATATATCTATATATCTTCAATCAGTCCTGTTGTTTTTATTGAATTGAATTTTAAGACATGCCTATTACACAGATAAGATCAGTAAAATATTGGCCACAAGGACCTTGTAATTGGCCTAAAATACTTTTTCTCCTTTCTTTAATAGTGATTATAATTAGTTAAACCCATTCACATATCATTAAGATATTGACCCATTTACGTATCATTAAGATATTGACCCATTCACATATCATTAAGGCATTGACCCATTCACATATCATTAAGATATTGACCCATTCACATATCATTAAGATATTGACCCATTCACATATCATTAAGATATTGACCCATTTACATATCATTAAGATATTGACATATTTACATATCATTAAGGCATTGACCCATTTACATTACATTAAGATATTGACCCATTTACATATCATTAGGATATTGACCCATTCACATATCATTAAGATATTGACATATTTACATATCATTAAGACATTGACCCATTGACATATTAAGACTTTGACCCACTTACATATCATAAAGATATTGACCCATTTACATATCATTAAGATATTGATCTATTTACATATCATTAAGATATTGACCCATTCACATATCATTAAGATATTGACCCATTTACGTATCATTAAGATATTGACCCATTTACATATCATTAAGATATTGACCCATTCACATATCATTAAGATATTGACCCATTCACATATCATTAAGATATTGACCCATTACGTATCATTAAGATATTGACCCATTCACATATCATTAAGGCATTGACCCATTTACATATCATTAAGATATTGACCCATTCACATATCATTAAGATATTGACCCATTCACATATCATTAAGATATTGACCCATTACGTATCATTAAGATATTGACCCATTCACATATCATTAAGATATTGACCCATTTACGTATCATTAAGACATTGACCCACTTACATATCATAAAGATATTGACCCATTCACATATCATATCATTAAGATATTGATCCATTTACCTATCATTAAGATATTGACCCTGCCTGCCCTGGAACGATGGCTGAACTGTGCTCATGTAGCTTATTGCCGTGATCCAGACTGAAAACTACCAACACCATCACCACTGTTATTTGTATGCATGACATTTTGGCTTTGATACATTAATTTAAGTGTATCCCGCATGATTCAATTAATTGAACACACTAGAAATAAAGTACGACTTTTATGTGAACATTAAAACATACTGGTTATAACGTTCTAGGGAAATCTTATACAGGAATCAGGAATGTTTAGATTTCCTGGGAATAATTTTAACAGGTTTGGCAGGAGAAACAGCAATCTTGGATATTTGAATATTCTCTGATGTTTGTACATAAATAAATCAAAGATCAATAAAATCCTGGCCTTTTGTTATATAAAATTGTCTATGTTTATAAGAACAAAGTGTTACATTAGATTGTCTGTGTTTACAAGAATTGAGAATAATATCTTGTGAAGATAAGTGATGATTTTTTCACATCCCGATTTATAGTGCTGTGGTTGTTTTAAAAGTGTATAAATTGACAGATAAAACATGTCCCATATTCAAAATGATACAAGAGAACAGTGCTGATCGATTCTTCTGTCTAGAAATCTTATATAACTCTGACAAATACAGTTTGTGTTTTAACTTATCCATATAAATCATGTCTAGACACCTTTGCAGTAATCTTTTCGGATTGTTTGTACTCTTGTTTGTTCAATACATACAATGTAAAAGCTCATCAATTATCAGACAATCTGACCAATGTTAATAATATAGAAAAACTGCTGCAATATTACAACAATTGTTTCAGTAATATTAGTATTATTTATAAAGGAAGGTTATCTCTTTATTGTCAAAATTATAAAAAAAGCAACAATGCTGATGAAGAGAAAACCTTTACTGCATATTATACACCAGTAAATAGTGGGGAAATGAGCAGAAGATTTTCCTCGGTCTCGTCCGGTCAATGAAATTGTTTTGTGTTTTGGCATCAAAATAATGGAAGGTATGCCAAACTTGCTGTGTGAATTAGCTAGGGATTTTATGTTCTGACTGTCCTTGGAGTGCAGCTTTGATGGTTAAAATTTCAAATGTGTTGTATCTAAGACTAATTGTGCTGATGTAATAGTATCTATCTATTACAAGTGAAGTGTTCACCCTTTGCTCTGCTTAATCAATCAATCAGCCTAAGCCACCAGTATAGAGCCAGGCTAACCTCTGCCTCCATGCAGTCAGACCAATCTCCTTACTAATCGTATCTCAATATTTGATTTACAAATAATTTATTTTAATTCAATTGTGTAGGAAGCCATAAGCTTATAGACACACTTTTGCATTCCCTACCTGGAACCAACCGGTACTGAGCAATGAGTGAAAAGTTTCTTGCTCAAGGAAACAATGACGCACTTCTAATGGGGTTTGAACCCACGCAGCTTGCAGCCTTGCAATTATTAGATAAATAGTCCCAATGCCATTTCTGCTGAATATTTGTACTTTTATATTGAAATCCTTTAAACTTTAAATGAACTGTTCCAAATACAAAGTGGATCAAATCTTATAATTTTAGTAATTTGGTGATTCAGGTTGAGACTTTTGAAGAAGAGGCTGCACATTTAGTTATTAATTCACTAAGCATACTAATCTATAAAGTGTTATAACAAAAAATATGTTTATTTTTATAGGGCAGCACTATCAGAAAGAGGAAGATGTATGAAGAATTCCTTACTAAAGTCTCAATATTAGGTATGTATGTACATGTATGAATTATAAAATATGTGTGAATTGTAGGCTGTTGTATTTTACTACAAAAAGATTGTTTTAAACTTTTGAGTGCTATTTTCTCCATCATGAAGGATCTGTAAAAGCAAACACTTTCCTGAGAATATTTTTTAATTAAGGTTTAGAATATAATGTCCTAGCAGACGTATGACCTAATTGAATTAGTTCAATTTGATTAATTATGAAATAGTTTGGTCTGTTTACTTACCACGATACTTGTTTTGGCAATTAATTTGCACAAATTTGGTCTTCCTGCAGTATTTTCTCATTCTTACCTTACTGGATACAAACATTGATTTGGGATAACTCAAAAAACCTTTATACCAAGTCTACCAAAAGTTGTCCCCCTTATGATATCAAATAGTTACAGCTAGGGTAACAAGTAGTATAATCCTAATGTGTTTTACAATATTTATTCACAAAATTTAATTTCTTTTCTTTTTTACTTCTGACGTTTTCCAGTCTAATACAGTATTTAGGAGAATTATAAGTAAAATACAGTTGCCATAGCAATTGAATTTTTATATTATTTTGGATGATTTCAGAGAATCTTGACAAATGGGAGAGATTGACTGTTGCTGATGCTTTAGAACCTGTCCAGTTTGAGGATGGTCAGGAGATTGTACGACAGGGTGAACCTGGCGATGATTTCTTTATAATACTCGAGGTGTGTTATTTAGAGGATATTACATCCTAATTAAAATTTCATGTGGACTTTAACAAATCCAAGTGAAGAAAAGTATTATTTAGTGAGGCTGTAGCAAGCTTAATTAAATTTTTGGGTGGGTTTGATTCAAGTTCAAAGAAAAACTATGCTCATCTGTGAGTAAAATTTTTTAATTGCAGAAACTTACTAAAATCTATGAAATTATTCCCTATAACCAGTCAAGCAAAGTTGATCCTTTGTTGAAAAGAGCTGCAATTTTTTTTTTAATGACGCTATATATTCATATAGTGTCCACCTATATTGAGTAGAGTTTAAAACATAACATATCTACTCTACTTATGTGAATGTTTTTAGCTCACCTGTCACAAAGTGACAGGGTGAGCTTTTGTGATCGCTTTTCGTCCGGCGTCCGTCCGTCCGGCGTCCGTCCGTAAACTTTTGCTTCAAATGACATCTTCTCATAAACTACCAAGCCAATTTCATCCAAACTTCACAGGAATGTTCCTTTTGTGGTCACCTTTAAAAATTGTTCAAAGAATTTAATTCCATGCAGAACTCTGGTTGCCATGGCAACCGAAAGAAAAAACTTTAAATATCTTCTTTTAAAAAACCCAAAGAGCTAGAGCTTAGATATTTGGCATGAAACATCTTCTAGTAAGTGTCTACCAAGTTTGTTAAAAAAAAGGCCTGGGGTCAAAATTGGCCCCGCCCCAGGGGGTCATTGATTTTCCCTATATACATATAGTAAAAACTTAAAAATTCTTCTTTTAAAGAACCCATGGATCTAGAGCTAAGATATTTAGCATGAAACATCATCTAGTAAGTGTCTACCAAGTTTGTTCAAATAAAAGCCCTGGGGTCAAAATTGGCCCCGCCCCAGGGGGTCATTGATTTTCCCTATATGCATATAGTAAAAACTTAAAAAATCTTCTTTTAAAGAACCCATAGAGCTAGAGCTAAGATATCTAGCATGAAACATCTCATAATAAGTGTCTACCAAGTTTGTTCAAATAAAAGCCCTTGGGTCAAAATTGGCCCCGCCCCAGGGGGTCATTGATTTTCCCTATATGCATATAGTAAAAACTTAAAAAAATCTTCTTTTAAAGAACCCAAAGAGCTAGAGCTAAGATATTTAGCATGAAACATGTTCTAATGGGTGTCTACAAAGAATGTTCAAATAAAAGCCCTGGGGTCAAAATTGGCCCCGCCCCGGGGGTCATTGATTTTCCCAATATGCATATAGTAAAAACTTAAAAAATCTTCTTTTAAAGAACCCATAGAGCTAGAGCTAAGATATTTAGCATGAAACATCTTCTAATAAGTGTCTACCAAGTTTGTTCAAATAAAAGCCCTGGGGTCAAAATTGGCCCCGCCCCAGGGGGTCATTGATTTTCCCTATATGCATATAGTAAAAACTTAAAAAATCTTCTTTTAAAGAACCCATAGAGCTAGAGCTAAGATATTTAGCATGAAACATCTTCTAATAAGTGTCTACCAAGTTTGTTCAAATAAAAGCCCTGGGGTCAAAATTGGCCCCGCCCCAGGGGGTCATTAATTTTCTCTAAATGCATATAGTAAAAACTTAAAAAATCTTCTTTTAAAGAACCCAAAGAGCTAGAGCTAAGATATTTAGCATTAAACATGTGCTAATGGGTGTCTACAAAGTTTGTTCAAGTAAAAGCCCTGGGGTCAAAATTGGCCCGGCCCGGGGGTCATTGATTTTCCTTATATGTGTATAGCAAAAACTTAAAAAATCTTCTTTGAAAAAACCCAAATAGCTAGAGTTTAGATATTAAGCATGAAACATCTTCTAGTGAGTGTCTACAAAGTTTGTTCAAATAAAAGCCCTGGGGTCAAAATTGGCCCCGCCCTGGGGGTCATTGATTTTCCTTATATGTGTATGGCAAAAACTTAAAAATCTTCTTTGAAAAAACCCAAATAGCTAGAGTTTAGATATTAAGCATGAAACATCTTCTAGTAAGTGTCTACAAAGTTTGTTCAAATAACAGCCCTGGGGCTAAAACTGGCCCCGCCCCAGAGGTGTCATTGTTTTTAACTATATGTGTATAGTAAAAACTTAAAAAATCTTCTTTTAAAAATCCCAATGAGCTAGAGGTTAGATTGCAGGAAACATCTTTTTGTGGGTGTCTACCAAGTTTGTTCAAATAAAAGCCCTTGGGTTAAAATTGGCCCTGCCAAAGGGGGTGGGGAGGTCATTGTTTTTCATTATATGTGTGTAGTAAAAACTTAACATCATGAAACATCTTCTAATGAGTGTCTTCCAAGTTTGTTCAAATAAAAGCCCTGGGGTTTAAACTAGCCCCGCTCTGGGGGCCTAAATACAGGTGAGCGACCTCAGGGCCATCATGGCCCTCTTGTTTATTCATACATAACAATGTTTTCAAATATCTCCATAACTACTGAAGGGTTTGTGCCTTTTTTTGAACAATTTTGTGCATTTTATAATAATAAAGCAGTTATTAACTCGATAAAACATCTCAATAACAAGCCTTTGTACCTTTTCGGACAATTTTATGTATTCATATAGGTAAGCATTATTATACTCGATGAAATACACTTGTGACAACTTTTCGAATAGTCGAGCGTTACCGTCCTCCGACAGTTCTTGTTAATGTATGAAATAATTTTGTTACTATTGGTCATGAATTAAAACTAGGGTGTCATGTTAAGCAAACAGTAACTGACCAAACCAGTTAAAATGAATAATGTTGATGTGTTGTATTCCCCATTTTCCTCTTATATTGATAACGAGTTGTACAAGGTCATGTTTAATGTACTTTGAGGTTGCTTTACTATCTCTCTCCAGTAATCTTAACTTGTCTTTCCTTAAATGTATTTTTATGTAAAATTAGTACCCATTTAGGAAAAACATAGTCCATTTACATTTTATGATATGATTTTTGAAAGAATTTCAATTATACTATTGGCATTATGTTTCAAATGATGTAACATTTCAGGGTTCTGCTGCAGTATTACAGAGGCGATCAGATAATGAGGAACCTGTAGAGGTCGGCAGACTTGGAACTTCAGACTATTTCGGTTTGTATAGTTTACTGTAATATCTGATGTAGTGTAAACTGTGCTACCTTAATAATGTAGGGATGGCAAAATCAACTGCCTGTATTGCCCAGGTTGTCCTATAGCCTGTACCGACAGGTGGATATTTTCAAGAATTTACTGTATCAATATAAAAGGGACAAGTTAAAAAAAAGGCTTCGGATAAAAACAGACAAGTTAGTCAAAATCAGATTTTGTCGGCCCAGTATTGTATAAGTTAGTTTTAGAGAGATGTCTTTATGTCACAGCAAGCAAAGAATAGAGTTTTATAGCATTGACTCTTCAATAAAAAATATGGCAGAGAAGAAACATTGATAGGATATTCCAGCAAGTCCTAGGATATTTATATTTGTATATATCTGACTAGTTCTTGAGATATAGATGTGGGGTCTAGTACCTCTGTTATAATATACTGATATTCATACAGGCTGAGGTACTTCAGTTTTGATAATGTTTCAAGATGTCACGAGCTGTCACAAACTGTTAACTAGGTAACCTTTGTGTGAAAACATACAGGATGACAGTAATGTGATTAATACCTTTGTATCTGATTTAGTTAATACTCTTTAACTCCTGATTCAGAAATCTGGGGAGTTATAGTTGATTACTTGCAAAAAGAAATCGAGAGATAAATACTATGTCACTCGCAGAGAAATTGTTTATTCCTGGTAAGTTAACCAGGAAAGCCAATCGAGTGATGTGTTAAAATTGGTATAAATACCAGATGAAACAAACAAAACAGACTTTGTTAATCATGTAATGTACTCACTGACCTTATTTTATTTAAGTTTATTATATATGATGTATTATTTTATTATTTCAGGAGAGATCGCTCTATTGCTCGACAGACCTCGTGCTGCCACAGTTATTTCTCGCGGGCCTCTTAAATGTGTTAAGCTTGATCGTAGTAGATTTGAAAGAGTTCTCGGCCCTTGTGGAGACATTCTTAAACGAAATATATCTCAATACAACAGTTACGTGTCATTATCCGTGTAATAGTGACATATTGACACAATATTTTAGACATTTGAGCAGCGTTACGACAAAACCAACGTAGTGTGTTTGCGACCAGCATGGATCCAGACCAGCCTGCGCATCCGCGCAGTCTGACCAGGATCCATGCTGTTCGCTTACCAACCCTATTACAAGTAGAGAAACTAATAGTGAACAGCATGGATCCTGATCAGACTTCGCAGATGCCCAGGCTGGTCTGGATCCATGCTGGCCGCAAACACACTATGTTGGTTTTGTCATGACGCAGGTCAATTTTTATATTGTCCTCAACTATTAGCAATAAATTTACATAAAAGAGCCTCATCTCCAAGGACTATATTTAAGGAATAAGGTACTTTAAGGTTATTATATTATTATGTGAAGGTGTGAGGATTTTTCTTGTGAATGTTACAGTAATGAAAATAACATGTAAATCTGGTGGTATTTCTGACAGTGTCCAATGTTGTTTTTTGTTGAATTTCATGTGAAACACGTTTCTACCCTAATACCATTCTGTATTACCAGGGATATATGAAAAGCATTAATGAAAATAATATTGAAATGTCCGAAACTAAAATGTGTAAAGTAAGCGAAATACACACGTACAGCTTTATATATAAATTGAATTAAAACAATCTTCACTTCAGTTGGTTAGAAGAGATATACACTGTAGTTTAAATGAAATTATAAAGCTGAAGTATATTACCTAATCAAAATTCATAAACTGAACTAGTCTTGTGCACTTGTTACTGATATTCTGGACTAGAATTTTATTTTTGTGGCTTCTAGAACTGCTGGGTGTTTTCTTACTCCACACTATTGCTGGTATTTGATCTAAATACTGCTAAAAAAACCTGCACAAAATTATTAACAAAGTAGACTATTCTTAAAATTTAGACTGAAATAGAATGGCACTAGTACGATGCAGAGAATGTGTTAATTTTCTCAGTTTTACATATACATATGTGTAAATATATAAGCATGTATGTTACTCATCAGCTGTTACTTTGTATTTTAATTAATGAATTATAAATGCTTATCTGTTATTAATATAAAAACAAATTAATAAAGTTTAATGAGAAAAACAAATAAAAAATGCTGGAACATATTATAGTTTGAAATAAAATAAACAAGTTCTACATGAAATGTTACTTCGATACATATGCCTAGTAAAGTGTTACTTTGTAACATATATCTACCGGTAGTTAAGTGAAACTTTAAAGTACACATATCTAGTATGTGTAAATTGGATTTCACATGTCTAGTAATTTGTTACATGAAAGTGCTTGATTGTAGAGAATTTTTTTATATATTTTAATTGATTGCCACAATCAACTGCTGTTCATAGTTTATATGTCTAATATATCATAGTAACCTAGGTTGTGTTGATATTTACCAGGAGTTTGTATAAATGTATTCATTCTGCTATATGAGCCGCGTCACGACAAACCCAACATAGTGCGTTTGTGACCAGCATGGATTCAGACCAGCCTGTGCTTCCTTACAGTCTGATCAGGATCCATGCTGTTCCCTTACCAACCCTATTACAAGTCAAGAAACCGATAGCGAACAGCATGGATCCTGTGCAGATGCGCAGACTGGTCTGGATCCATGCTGGTCGCAAATGCAGGATGTTGGTTTTGACGTGACGCTGCTCAATTATGTATACAACCAGTGACTAACTATTGTACATTGCTTTAATACTAATATACCTGACAGATTATAAACAATTGTGCATTTAACGGGTACTATATCCATATATGGTCAGTACATTAAATGACCTCTATATTGACCTTGAGATGCTGATGTAGTAATATGTAGAAACTTGTATGAATGTTATTGATGACAGAACACTCGTTAGTTACAATCATTGTTGATCGTTCTTTACGATGATTGTACAAAATATGTTATAAATTTAAGGGTAAACTCATAATTTCATAAAGTTAACTGACATAAGAAAGAAAGGGCTATGAAGTAAGGGTCTTCATGGCCCACTGATTGAGGTCACTGATTTCTTATCATTTGTCTAACAGTGCTGTGGGTTTGAAACGTTTAGGGACTTGAGATTCTTTCTTTTTATAAAGCTATGCAGCTAGGTCAGGGAAATTTGATAGTTCTATACCTGGGTATCGGCTCATGGCTGGAATAATGTACAGAACAGTACCTGAGGGCAAGGTCTTTCAATTTTGAAAGTCCTTACTGAACCTGAGTAAAGCTTATACGTCATTATATAATCTTCACAATGTTGATGTGACTTAAAACCCAACCAAAAATAAAACAATTAAAAAAAACATGTCTTGGAGGAAGTTTTAGAGTAAAACTTTAATAACACAATAAGATAAGTTAAAAAAAAGTTTTATTTGATATTATCATGTGTATGCAAGTAAATGTGAACTATGTTTAAGTTATTAGATTATGTACAAATGTATTAAGTGAAATGCAGAATAATTTCAACTAAGTAAAAATCATTTTGCGAACTCTGTGTGGCTTTATCAGCTACGATACGAACATTACAAAATTTACAAAAACAAGAGCAATCAACCTTTTCCCAAATTAAATTGATTATTTGACATTTATACTAACAATGTATTTGATTATAAAATTGAAATCAGTTTGTATATAATTTAGAGAAATGTTAAGAGAGATGTATATCTCCAGCAGCTACTGTAATAAACCAATGTCACTAATTCTTGCAGCCTGACCTTTGAGTAGCTCCGTTTATGTATTGCTATGCTGAAATCCCCTTTTTACTACTAATGGACTGTCAAATCTATCTACATTAGTTAAATCTAGCAGGTGAGGGTTAATTTTTTAAAATGAAATAAGAAATTATTGAAATTATCCTCTTAAGTACAAGACTTTCTTTAATTGTTTATAAAGGAAGAAGTTTGTATGGCTAATATAGCAAGTAAATGTTAGAATATAAATTTTAAAAGAAATGAAAGTGGGCCGAGGAAATTAACTTATTTTACATGGGAGACGATTATGATTATGAAGTATTGAGTAAGTTACCTCTCTTAGAATGAGATTTTGTTTTATATGTTTATTTTTGCTTTGATACAAATTGCATAAAAGCCAAACTATTAAAGCTCGCGTTATTGTGTCTTTTTTTAAAAACTGTTATAGCAGTCACAAGATGATGGTGTCACTTTTTGACACTGTTATAACAGTAAAATAATGATGATGTCACTTTTTGACACTGCTATAATAGTAAAATCATGCTGGTATCAATTTTTGACACTGTTATAATAGTAACATGATGATGGTGTCACTTTTTGACACCATTACTCCAGTAACAAGATGCTGGTGACACTTTTTTTTAATGCTTGTTTATTTGACACAAGCTTGTTTTTGTTTTTGTTTCCTAGCTGAATTTATATATGTTTTTGGTGATAAGTTTTTTGCATAAAATATATATTTGTTCATTAAAATAAGAGAACATTACCTGTAGCTGGTAGCAAAGTAAATCTGCTATCACTGAGTCATTTAATAAAGTAAATAGATGGTTTTATATCCAAGTATTTATAGTTTAAAATGTTGATCATACCTTAAATAAAACCATTTTCAAATTACCTTAAAGCTACATGCCTTCAGATAAGCAAAAATATTTAAATGAAATCAAACTTGAGAAACATATACTAAGATAAAAGGAAAAGTATTCAAGTAATATTTTACATATTATGTGGGATTAATGACTGATTTTTCAGTCGTATGTACAACTATATTTCTACTGCGTTACTTACACAGTAAAGGCTATTTATGCATATTTTGACCACTTCTTGGTAATTTACGTGGTTTGTAAGTGCCATTGATAATATGTAAATTGCTTCCTTTTGGTTACTTTCCAATATTACACATTTAAATACATTTTCAAAATTTTCATGAAAATTACCATGAATATGGAGGCGTGCTGCATTAAGGTCTTCTTTGTAGGATTTATAGTTTTAATTGTTCCATCATTTACTAGATAAGACTGTGAAAAGTTTGATGACTAATTGTCATGTTAGATGATATCTATTATACTTGTATAGTTGTTAGCTAATCAAGGGATGTTGTTATATTATATGTAAGAAAGTTTAATCATTAAAATTTTGTGAGTCATAGTGGAATGATATAGAATCATGTATTTATAGTGAGAGAGCAAATGTCCTTGATTAAACAGATTGAATGTAACAACTTGTTTTGTTTATTCCTTTCCCTACAATGTGTTTTATTTATTCCTTTCCTTACTGGTTGTTTTATTTACATATATTCCTTTTCTTATCAGGTATTATCTCTGAACACATTAAACTATGCCATCATGGAGTGAGAAAATTTGATTGTATCAGCAATTTGAGTTTATATCAGTATGTGGTATATTAACTAACTTTTACCTGTCATGTTGACTTAAAACATAAAACTGAGAGTCAAAATAACCAAGACGGAGGCTTTGATCATGTAATTTACAACAACTATTACAGCAATTTCCCTTTAATGCTTTTAGAACATTGGTATGGTTAACAAGTTTTGGCAAGACAGATCTAGGTTCTACTTGAATAAATCACTTGATATTACTAGACACGAAAAGTACTTAATTAATCTGCTAAGTTCCATATCTGCAGCAGTCATTTTTACCATGTCACCTTTAATTCTGTTGAAAATAGGAATAGTCGGCCTATTTCCGATAGTTGAACCTTCTATTCGTCGTCTGATTCACAGTCTAACGCTCTACCTATTGAGCGAACAGGACGTTTTACTCTTGCTACAATACATGTACTTTATAATAATGCAAATTTCTTGAATTCTTATTGGCTTAATCACATTGTATACCTCCAACTATTGTAAGCCAGATAAAAAGCTTCCTCTGACCATCTGTAAGCCAGGTGAAAAGCTCATTCAGGCATCTGTAAGCCAGCTGAAAAGCTCCTTCGACCATTGGTAAGCCAATAGTTGAATAGCACCTGTGCATCTGTAAGCCAGCTGAATAACTTCCACAATCTGTAAGTCACCTGAATAGCTCCCCGGCCATTCGTTAGCCAGCTGAATAACTTCCACAATCTGTAAGTCACCTGAATAGCTTCTCCGACCATAGGTAAGCCAGCTGAATAACTTCCACAATCTGTAAGCCAACTGAATAGC